GAGAAGAGACCTCAACCACCTGTCGGTCCATCAGTGGCTTCGCTCTGCCATCCGTGAGTCACAACAACCAGTCTCTCCTATAGGGGTTTCTTATTTTTGAAACTTCCGCCACCGCCTTGTGCGGTACTACTGGTATACAAATAATATCTAGTCTTAGTATGTGCTATGGTGTATGGTGCATCTGGTATGTATACTGTATGATATGTATATACACATAATGATCGATGTATGGTGTATGATATATAAATATCTATATATGCATACATATATATATAAATATGTATATTATATATGTATGTATATGTATATATGTATATATGTATATGTATATATATGTATATGTATATGTAAATATATATATATATATATATTATGTATGTATATAGGTATATATATATATATACAGATGCATATGTATGTAAAAATAGATAAAAACACACACATATATATATGTACAAAATTAATCAACATGATTGATATATGAATGATGTATGTTTAGGATTTACATTTCATAGCATATGCATATATCTATATATATTTGTACTCATTGGTATTCTATAAAGCTATGATAACTATAAATCGATATAACGCTTATATGATTCTTAAATATCACATTTATTAGCCCATAACATTTCATGATCTGTATTTAATAACCCTTCTATCTATATTTCTATGTATTGATACATACATATTTATATGTATATATATATTTATACATTGTGCACAATTGCCAATTTACGTATGTAATAGCAGTTGGAACCAGGGGATTGTCCCTTGATTTGTCACTGGATTATCACCAAACTTTCCAGCAGGAACCATTTGCGGATGTGTTCAACGTTTCAGGGCATCGTCCCAAGAAAATAGATTTTCCAGACCATGTATGGTACACTTGTCGGCATTTGGGTGATCTTGGGATGCTGGATGCGACACTGTATTTGCTACAAGTACCTGTCGCTCCCCGGCCTTTTCAAGCACACTTCCAAAAGCCAATCAACGACACATTCCGGAGTGAAGGGCAACTTTGCACCAACATGGTTACACATATGCAAACTGGACTGCAACCGCTGAGCTGTCACCACCACAGTCTGCTTTGCCCCAAGTCACGACTGACCCATCGGCCAGGATCGCAGCAAATGCCCGCTCAGTTGCTTGAACCTGTTGGACACCCTTGAGCTGATCTTGGACCCTAGAGCTGTCACCACCAAGGTCTGGATGGCCCCAAGTCACGACTGACCCATCGGCCAGGATCGCAGCAAATGCCCGCTCAGTTGCTTGAACCTGTTGGACACCCTTGAGCCGATCTTGGACTGTAGAGCTGTCACCACCAGAGTCTGCTTTGCCCCAAGTCACGACTGAACCATCGGCCAGGATCGCAGCAAATGCCCGCTCAGTTGCTTGAACTTGCTGGACACCCTTGAGCTGATCTTGGACTTTAGAGCTGTCACCACCAGAGTGTGCATCGCCCCAGGTAACCACTGACCCATCGGCCAGGATCGCAGCAAACGCACCATCCAAAGTTATTTGAAGCTGCTGGACACCCTTGAGCTGATCTGGGACTGTAGAGCTGTCACCACCCAAGTCTGGATGGCCCCAAGTCACGACTGACCCATCGGCCAGGATCGCAGCAAACGTACCATCCAAAGTTGCTTGAAGCTGCTGGACACCCTTGAGCCGATCTTGGACTCTAGAGCTGTCACCACCCAAGTCTGGATGGCCCCAAGTCACGACTGACCCATTGGCCAGGATCGCAGCAAATGCCCGCTCAGTTGATTGAACCTGTTGGACACCCTTGAGCCGATCTTGGACTCTTGAGCTGTCACCACCAGAGTGTGCATCGCCCCAGGTCACGACTGACCCATCGGCCAGGATCGCAGCAAATGCCCGCTCAGTTGCTTGAACCTGTTGGACACCCTTGAGCTGACCTTGGACTCTAGAGCTGTCACCACCATAGTCTGCTTTGCCCCAAGTCACGACTGACCCATCGGCCAGGATCGCAGCAAATGCCCGCTCAGTTGCTTGAACTTGCTGGACACCCTTGAGCTGATCTTGGACTTTAGAGCTGTCACCACCAGAGTCTGCTTTGCCCCAAGTCACCACTGACCCATCGGCCAGGATCGCCGCAAACGCACCATCCAAAGTTGCTTGAAGCTGCTGGACACCCTTGAGCTGATCTTGGCCTCCGGATCTGTCACCACCAAGTCCATGACGGCCCCATGTCACAACTCTTTCACCTCCACAACAAAACAATGCAAAAGCTGCTCCTGTCGTTGCTAGCTTTGCCTGCAGGACAATAGCCGTTAGATAGTCTCCATCCCAAATTCCCGCAGCTTTTAGAGACACTGTAGGATCCAACGCGTGATGGTCTGCAGCCACAAGCCTCAAGAAGCCACGTTGAAAGGATTTCTGTGCCAGAACCCTCAAGTCCCCTACGTTGGAGGACTGCGGAATCGAAAACTTCTCACTGCAACTGCTTGGCAAAGCTACTGTGACTTGAAGCATGTGTCAAAAAACTCCAACGAAATGAACGGACCAGAGACTACAATTGATTGATCTTGAGCCAAACTGCACCACTTTTTGAGCGTTGGAACAAACTCCTAAGACCAACTCGGCAACCCAACCCAAGATGAAGCAGGGCGAAGTATTGGGGTAGATGGTCTAATTATGTCTGATTTAGGTGGTTTCAAATGATGAAACTGGGGTATTGCTAAAACTTAAGGTATAACCAAAAAACAAATGGCTAGATTTTAATTGTGAAACGAATGGGAGACCACTGCCATTCCCAGGAAGAGGAAAATCATAGAAATCTATATGGTGTTACGATACGATACATGTATACATATATATATATTATAGTTAAATCATTGTGTAGCTATCTATTAGAAAAGATAATATATATACAGCACAATACAATGAACTTCCACTTCCCAAGATCCTGCACAGCATGGAGCCTTCGGCAAGGGATTGCTCTTGTTCTCCCAGGACCGCACGATACGGACGGGATCATTCCCTCGGGTTCAGAAGGCCCCCGGAAGAAATGGCAATGGGGGCACGGGGAATGGAAAAAAAACAACTTATCTATGGATCCATCAAACTGCCCAAGCTTTGTCCCATCTCGATGGTGGTTTTAAAATTCTATCTCTGATGGTGGACATATCAGATACAGATTTGCTTCTCTGTCAGACCCAGGGAACCACTGTTAGTCCCGTCCTGGGATACCTCATTGTTGACCCTGCGGTTTGCATCGAAGAATGAAACCATATGAAGCTATCAAATTTGATGATGCTACGACAAGCTTGCTACTACTGGCTATGATGCTTATCATCCAGGTGTCATCCATTAAATCTATCATCTACAGCACGAGATGATAAATGATGAATGAGCCAATCTAAAGGAAGCTTTCCGAAGTCATGGAGGTACCCAAAAATGGATGGTTTCTAAATGGAAACGCCTATCTATATAAATGGATGATAGCTGGGGGTACCCCATTTTAGGAAACATCCATACAGATGTTTCATGTTGCATTGCTGTGACCCATGCAGCTGGTATAGCCCTGAGTTTCCCTGGCGGAAGATGGATAGCAACTCCAAAATGTCCTGGAGACGCAGCGAAGGAAGAGCTGCTTGAGAAGGTACAGTATATATCGATATACCGTGGCATATATATATATACATCATAAATATTTAATAATAAAAATTGTATGTGGCTCATTGTATAATTCTCCAAGTTTTACATCCGCAGATTCCAGTGATTATATACCGAAGTTGGCCGAGAATTCTGGCCAGGAGTATCGATTGTGACCCTGGCGACATCACCTCACTTGGGTACCGCGTCCTGCTCAAGCGCAGGGCTTCGATGATAAATATGTGAGCTGGCATCTTGAACATTAACATCTCTAGAAGTACCCAAGATCCTCTGAAATCAAATGTGTTGAGGTCATAAAACACAAGTGCATTTGATTTTGTGGTCACCAGCTTCAGACCTTGGAACCCCTTTAGCACAACAGCTATGACCTGAGCAGTTGCCGAAACCCCGTTACCTTGTGTTCTATTCTATCTTCCCTTTCGCGATCTCTTTCGCGAACCTTTCGCGATGCAGGGTTTTTCTTTCGCGGCATCCATGTGTCTGAAATTCACTTTCGCGAGCTTTCGCGGAAAACATGTGACACAAATTCCCCGTTTTCCGCAGTGAAGTGCGCATTGAAACCTTTAATTCCAAGCACAACGGGCATCGTTTTGCAGCAGTTATCACTGTGGCAACATGTGGATTGATATTGCATCTGGTGGCCTCCTCCTCCTTCACCTCCGCATCCTCCAACCCACCCTCAAACGCGAGCTCCAGATCTCAGTGGGCACTGCCGGACCTCAACCGCGAGCGCCAGATTTCAGTGGGCACTGCCGGGCCCCAACTGCGACCGCGGATCTCAGTGGGCACAGCCAGACACCACAAGCGCCAGATCTCAGTGGGAAATGAGGGGGGGCCGTCCCAGCTAGTCAGGGCTTTCGCGGATCTTTCGCGGAGCTTTCGCGAAGCTTTCGCGGATTTCGGGTCACATCTATCGAAATTTGTGAATAATGTATCCGTATGGATCCAGATACATCTGAGGAAGCTGTCTACAAACATACTTAAAACCAGGATTTTGAGTCTTGAAAGTCTCTTTCGCGAGCTTTCGCGGAAGGAAATCTTCGCAAAAGCTTTCGCGGATCTTTCGCGAACGTGGTTTTAGCTTTCGCGGAGCCATCTTACTTTACACGCCCTTCAAATCTCCACTTGGAGGTTTTGGCGGCTGCTCACCTTGTTTTTTCTCAAAACTATGAACCCAAGAACTTCTCGACCATGAATGCTTTAACAATCTTTAACACATGCCAAGCATAGCCTGACTGGCGGCTTGCAACCAAGTATTTCCTCTTGCAGGATTATCCAATTTGAATGGCTGGAATTATCCGCCGACGCCATGGCCGGGGCGGCGCCTGGGACCACCTTTGGTGTTGGCTTTTCCCGATCTATGCCCCGATTGCTTCCATTGCCTCATAGCATTCCGCTTGCCATCCCTGCCGCTCCGCGGCACCACCTCTATTGTACCGCTCCGAAGCTGCCGGACACACCCCGCCCTGGGTCCACCGAACGCCCCAAACGCTCCGCAGCAGCACCTCTTTTGTACCGCTAGGCCCACCGAACGCTCCAAACGCTCCGCATCGCTCCGCGGCAGCACGTCTGGCCATGATATAGGCTGCAGCTTGCCATCCCTGCAAACGCTCCGCGGCAGCACCTCTATATTGTACCGCTCCGAAACTGCCGGACACACCCCGCCCTGGGCCCACCGAACCCTCCAAACTCTCCGCGGCAGCGCGTCTGGCCTTGATATATAGGCTGCAGCTTGCCATCCCTGCAAACGCCTCTATTGTAGCTCCGCGCGGCAGCGCGTCTGGCCTTGATATAGGCTGCAGCTTGCCATCCCTGCAAACGCTCCGCGGCAGCACCTCTATATTGTACCGCTCCGAAACTGCCGGACACACCCCGCCCTGGGCCCACCGAACGCTCCAAACGCTCCGCATCGCTCCGCGGCAGCGCGTCTGGCCTTGATATATAGGCTGCAGTTTGACATCCCTGCAAACGCTCCGCGGCACCACCTATTGTACCGCTCCGAAACTGCCGGACACACGCCGCCCTGGGCCCACCGAACCCTCCAAACCCTCCGCGGCAGCGCATCTGGCCTTGATATAGGCTGCAGCTTGCCATTCAGTGATGCATACCACATGCATGCATCCATGGATATACCTGGAGAACCAAAACCCTAAGAATTCTTCGGGTCAACGCAAGAACCTGAGGTATTTCGGAAAAAATAAGAAAACCTCGGTTTTCGATTGCAGACCTCGGGTATTGATTTTGAACCCGTACTTAACCCATACCTAACCCGTACTTAACCCGTACTAACCCGTACCTAACCCGTACCTAACCCGTACCTAACCCGTACTTTCAGAATGGGTTAAAATACCCCGGGGTTTGTCAGAAAAGCTCGGGTATTTTTCAAACCCTAAGATTTCTGCGGGTTTTGGTTCTCAAGGTATATATATATATATATTGTATATATATATATGTATACATACATCTACATACATGTAAATCTATTATATGTTCTAGTATATCATATAGAACTTCATATCATTTGTATCGCCCGCATCTTCCCAACTCGCGCAGCTAGGAATGAATTAGTTTCTCATCCCTCGGGGTTACAAGGGCTAAGAGCCGGCATGTACCTTTGCCAAATGACTGTTCCTGCCAGACCCAACCCCCGTATCAGGGGGCCGGTGGCACCCAGGCGTTAGCCCATTCTATAGACAATGTGTGACCAACTTACTAAATTACCTCACATCAATTGCCATTTCAGGTACCCAAACTGGCTGTATTTCCTATGAATTGCCATTGCGGAACCAACTCACCGCCGGAACCCAACTTCGGCAGCTAAGGACGCTCATCCCTATGCACTTTGATGTATTTTGTATACCAAGATATTCAATCAATTCAATCTAATTCAGTTGGTACCCAAGGTTACCCTCCTAAACTAACATAGATATTAGAAAAAACCCACCATGAATTGAATGTAGATCATTTTTCTACATTTTCCCCGGGTTTCATGGGCTTTCCCAGATCTTTCTCTATGTTTCTCCTGATCGGTGGGATCGCAGGGCTTGAACCATGTAGGTAACAGCCTCAAGATCTCACGCTGAAGGTTAGTCAGCAACCCCTGATGTGGAACATATCTTGGAAACCTGGAAAATCTTGCGGAAACATCATCAAAAGTACCATCCTGGACACACGGACAGGGGCATCTTTTTGGGGAGCCCCCAAAAAAGGTAGGGATCATCCAATCTATGGCAGTTTCATGGGAAACGAATAAACATAACAACAGATAACAACTGACGATTCACAATCCCCTTTGCGGATGGGACCTTTTGGATAGCCAGAATTTATGAATCAAGGATCGATGGATTACGACTGAAAAGATGCTGCAAATATCAACATGGAATGTATTCAATGGGAATGGTGTTGTGACTCGGGATAGAGCAGAGATCATTGAATATTGACAAAAGACAGGAATCATGGAAGAATCACCACAATCCCATACATTAATACCTAGCTGGGTTGTCCCGTTTGATCCTGACCTAGCAAGACAGGCAAACTTCATGGTTTTCTAACCAGTGGCCCAGGTAGTGAGGCAACACATTCTGCTTGTCGAAATTGTGCGATCATGATTCCTTCTTCAGGGCTGGAAAGACACACTGTATGGAGGTTCCTAAAGTGGGGCAAATCATCCAAAATTAGTCTATTTTAGTATTGAACCCCATAGGTTTGGGGATCCACCATTTTAAGAAACCCCACATCTGAACACACGTACTCAATTACTGTGCGTAGATTCATTCCTTTGCACGTTGCCGGGATGTGCTTCAACATGCTTCAACTATGTTCAGCTTGCTGGTTCTGGTCAAAACCTCCACATGGCTTGCTATGGTCAGCCAGCTGTGATCCAGCAGGGAAATCAGACCTCTTCGGAAACATCTCATGTTCGTTGCTGAAAAATTGTATCGATGTTGCTTATTATTCGCAATCCCCAAAGAGATAGAAAGTTGTAAACTGCGACCAAAGCAATGATAAATCATGATAAATCACTGTTCTATCTTTCTTTTTGGTGGTTGCTATAGGATTCTTGAAGTCCGTTTAATTTTGGAATCTTCCCCACATCAAGATGAACTACGAGGAAACATGTAGCCAACCACGAAGATCTCAGTGTCACCACCCAATACAAACAGATCAAATAGGCTGTGTCTGACCATTTTCCCCTCCAGGCAAGGTGATATGTGACATTATGTGACCAAAGAAATCTGGTTGAAGATAGATTAAAGATGTATAACTACTGTTCATAAGTTCACCCAAAGAAAAAACAATATATATATATATAAGTTCACAAAAACACTCATTGAAGATAACTTTTAATACCTTCTATAACATGATAAATTCACCAACCTATGCCGCTACGAAACAACGCACCACCTTCTCCATGTTCCAGACCTTTGGTCCTCAGAGATACCGAAGGATCTCGTTGCTTTCGGCTTTGTTTGAATGGACTGAATTCACATGGGACATGAAAACATACCTTCAGGGAATGAGTATCTCACAATATTTCACATAGAATGAATTAAAATGATGCAAACTGGGATGCAGAATGTGTGAAGCTGATCGGTTCCTGCACAAAAAACTATGCAGTATTTTTTGGTGTGTGTGTGTAACATCTGGATAGATAACTTCCTTCTTTTTTCTTCCCTCTCCTCCCTTTTTAAATAATGCAGGGGGCACGGCGCCATTTGTCCTAGCCGTGCCAACGAAGCTGTGGACATTTGGTGGATGAGATACTGGACGCAGTATCTTGTACCTGCACGTGGTGATTCTATCCGTCACGACATGGAACCGTAGTGATGCACCTGGATGCTGTTGCATAGCTGGTGGTCACATCATTTGGTGATTCTATCCGTCTCGCCATACAATGGAACCGTACTGACGCACCTGGATGCTGTTGCATAGCTGGTGGTCACATCATTTGGAGATTCTGTCCGTCTCGCCAAGAAAAAGGAACCGTAGTGACGCACCTGGATGCTGTTGCATAGCTGGTGGTCACATCTTTTTGGTGATTCTTCCCGTCTCGCCACGAAATGGAACCGTTTTCACAGTTTCTGTCAGGGTTATAACGTCGTAGGGTAATTTGTTTCTCATCTAATTTGCATGTTACAGGATTCAGTTCCTGCCGGATCACTATAATGATCCATTCTTATCTAGTGTGATTCCTATGGTGACTCCGACATGGTGCCATAGGGAAAATTGAGGCAACCCTGTTTAGGGTGACTGTCGACTGACCTGACTTCCGAATTTACACATTCAAAAAAAAAAGTTCGTCTAAGTAATGTGCAACAGATGGCCTTACTGTTATCCACCGTTTTTGGAGATTCTCGCTGCTCCGGCTGTCCCTTGAGACCCTTTGACAAAATGCATTCCTTACAGAGTGAAGCCGTTCCGAACTGCCAGAAACTTCATTTTTACCACTGCAGCTTGAGTTTTTGAAGTTCAACATGACATGTACGACAAAAGGCAACAGGCATGTCCTCTTCCTGCAGGTGTGGTCACTTTGGTTTCTGGTGAGGCGAAACATGTTGTGCACCTAATTCGATGGAACTTGAAAGCCGTTTATGCCAATTGGGGCAAGACTTGACCACGGTCCCGGAAAGGGAACAACGCACGAACCCTAGGTATTTAGGAACTGAGTCCTGTTTGGGGACCTGGGTCCCAATTAATTTTGTTGTTTCCTTTTTTCACCAACTAGTCCCCATTGGTCCCTAATCACCCTCCTGCTGGTTTCTCCGTCGTGTGTCGTTGGGTTCAGGTGTGTGCTCTGGTTTTGTCAGGTCCGTTTCGCCGTGTAGGTTGGTTCCGGAGGTCCGTCTGTTCCCCTCCCCCCCCTGCGCTGTTTTTGGCCGTCGGCCCGTCGTGTGTCCGCTTTTTTCTTCCTCTTGCCTTTCAGGGTTTCCCCGGCTCTGCCGTGTGTGTGTGTGTGTAACATCTGGATAGATGTAAAACTTCCTTCTTTTTTCTTCCCTCTCCTCCCTTTTTAAATAATGCAGGGGGCACGGCGCCATTTGTCCTAGCCGTGCCAACGAAGCTGTGGACATTTGGTGGATGAGATACTGGACGCAGTATCTTGTACCTGCACGTGGTGATTCTATCCGTCACGAAATGGAACCGTAGTGATGCACCTGGATGCTGTTGCATAGCTGGTGGTCACATCATTTGGTGATTCTATCCGTCTCGCCATACAATGGAACCGTACTGACGCACCTGGATGCTGTTGCATAGCTGGTGGTCACATCATTTGGGATTCACATCATTTGGAGATTCTGTCCGTCTCGCCATACAATGGAACCGTACTGACGCACCTGGATGCTGTTGCATAGCTGGTGGTCACATCTTTTTGGTGATTCTTCCCGTCTCGCCACGAAATGGAACCGTTTTCACAGTTTCTGTCAGGGTTATAACGTCGTAGGGTAATTTGTTTCTCATCTAATTTGCATGTTACAGGATTCAGTTCCTGCCGGATCACTATAATGATCCATTCTTATCTAGTGTGTGTGGTGGTCATTTGAGATCAACACACAACACACACACTGTGGGGCAATGGTGAGTGGAAAGTGTCAATGATGTCACCGTCGTCGCCTAATGTCCTGAGTTACCTGTCAGTAGTTTGACAACGGAATCGCCAAAGAATAAACAACGCACAGCTCATGAACAGGAACCGAAGGTCAACAGTTTTAACCATAGCAGGTACGTAGATCAAGCGTCCCTGATCTATATCCTTACCGCATGTCACTCAGCTTCGTTGGCATAGGAAGTGACATGGGCACCTCTGCCGCCTGCTTTATGAGAATTGTACAAGCGCGATATACAGAACTAAACCGTTTGTTATAACGGTGTACACACACACACACACACAACGGCCCCGAAATGGGGCAAGACCGCAAAGCGCCAATTTTGTACCTAGAAACTCTAACCTAAGGAGCCTGCCTAAGAGAATGAATACCTGGCCTAAAAAGAACCTGATGACGATGACGATTGATGTGAGAAACAAAACGTGGAACCATGTTCTATACCTAGTAAATCTGACCTAAGGAGCCTTCCTAAGAGAATGAATACATGGCCTAAAAAGAACCTGATGACGATGACGAGTGATGTGAGAAACCAAACGTTGAACCATGTTCTATACCTGGTAAAACAAACCTAAGGGGCCTGCCTAAGAGAATGAATACATGGCCTAAAAAGAACCTGATGACGATGACGAGTGATGTGAAAATGCTATTGAGACTCCGACCAAATCGAAGGTTCGCTGCTTGCACACTACCACTCGTAGTGTTAGGACTTCGACTTATGTCTTCTTTGTCCGAATTGGACGAAACTTCTGCCTTATGGCTTCTTCGCCTTATGGCTGCTTCGATTGGATTTTACTATGTAAAATCTTGACTTCGTCTTATGACGCTTGAAATGCACTCTGGGTGCATACGGCTTCGGAAATTCATTCTCCTCTCTGAATACGGGAAAATGCCCGCTCATGACTTTCTGATTGGTCGAAACCAACGGACGGTGTGACCAAGTCAGGTCCAACACCCGTGACACATTGTGGGGTAATGGTGAGTGGAAAGTGTCAATGATGTCACCGTCGTCGCCTAATGTCCTGAGTTACCTGTCAGTAGTTTGACAACGGAATCGCCAAAGAATAAACAACGCACAGCTCATGAACAGGAACCGAAGGTCAACAGTTTTAACCATAGCAGGTACGTAGATCAAGCGTCCCTGATCTATATCCTTACCGCATGTCACTCAGCTTCGTTGGCATAGGAAGTGACATGGGCACCTCTGCCGCCTGCTTTATGAGAATTGTACAAGCGCGATATACAGAACTAAACCGTTTGTTATAACGGTGTACACACACACACACAGACACAGACACACACACACACAGACACGCGCGCACGCACACACACACACACACGCACACATTTCTTCAGATTTCCCAGGGTTGTTCACCAAAACAGATAGAATTCGATAGAATTCGTTGCCCGACGGAAGTTGTTCCATGGAAGACCATCCGGTATTTTTTTTGGAGTTTGCTATAGGAACTGTCATCCATTGAGTTCCATGATTCAGCGGTTGTAAAGACCGTCTTCATCAGCTGGCGAATTCCTGAAATGTACATCCTTGATCATCCTTCCATTTGACTTCATGAAAAGGCAATCCCAAAACAGATCATCTTACAGATTATTATAAACACATTAATATAAAAACCTCTGCATCAAAAGGTTGTATTTTTTCCATATTGTCCCTATCATGTTCTTGTGTTCTTTTTTGGCTTCTTGGCTCCCTACCAGATGACTTTCAATGTCGGATGCTAGTCGAATCTTAAGAATCGTTTCTACACTATGACAAATTCTTTCGACGATCTTTACTAATGTCTAATTATGTCTAATGTCTAATGATTTCTTCTCTATTTTCAACAACTTTGCTAGACACTACATCTACTCCAAGTACTGAAACAAACATAGCCATAGTTTTTCGGAATCAGCAGCCTACCCGGATGATCAGATTCGACCAATGACTACTGGTTGGTGAAAAACCTACTGGTTGTTTAGTGAACAAATGCCGGTGAAAGAAAAGCTTACCGTAGGTGAGTGAATCATGTTTTATGCGTTTTTTTCAGGAAAAAATAAGATATTTCCCAAGTCTGTTGCGTTGAAAAATCCTCTGCCGCAATTCGAATCGTTTAGGGAAAGCTGGCTCCTTATGTTTGTACATCGATGATATCCAGTTGGGTTTAGCCGTGCTCAAAAGCACTGCCGACGATTTTCCGTCACCAAAGTGGGTCACCATTCCATAGATTAAGTCAGCAAGTCAATTCCATTTATGGAATGATCTCCCCATAAATTCATAACCCATGGTAACCATGACCAGCCAGTGGTTTTCAGTGCTTGAACTGTGGATCAACTGTGGATCATCAAGGATCATCAACGCGAATGCGTGGCCAAAGTATGACAGATGCATTGCACCACCATCCATTGTGGCAATCGGACCTCGGCTAAGACATAGAGGGGAGGAAGACGGCAGCTATCCTGGTGACATGTCACATCTATTTCATTCTATTTCTAGGTGTATACATGAACATAGTTATTCATTTATACATGTGACACTATATATATATATATGTCAATGTATGTACGTATATTATATATTAATATTAATATTAATATATGCATATGCATTAAATATATTTAAATATTATGTATGTGTATAGATGTGAGACCTAGCTAATGCTTAATGTTCACCACTGTTGCCAATTGACATGGTTCACAAAAATAACATAGTAAATCATGCTAATGCTTCCCATTGCTCATCAATCAGAAGGGACTTGGTTCTCACTGCTGTCACAGTGGCTTGCAAACCTCAAGGGAATTCTCTGGTTCTTCTGTACCTCAGGGCCGAGGTTAAGAGAAACCATCGAGTTGGCCAACACTTTTTTTCGCAAAGGCTGGTGCGAATCTTTGGGATGTGTTCCAGTAACATAACAGATTGGCTTTGTCGGAAAACATAGGGTAAAATTCAACACGCAAAAAATATATCGAAAAATCACCATGGCTTTAGAGCCTCATCTCCATCGAGATGGCAATTTGGGGCTGTAACCCTCAAGCTCTTAGTACAGCTCGGTGGATATCCTCCATGGTGGCCCCACTTGGATCCACTGGTCATTTTACCATATTACATTTAGGGTTTGTCTGTTGGTGAAAATGCCCGTTGAAACAATGGTTAAATCATGTCAAATACAAATTTATAAATTGCTTCAAGACCAATTGTTCTAGCTTATACAAATCATGTTAAATTATCGCATTGATTCAACCAGGTTTAAACAGCCTATTCATCTATTCCGAATGGTTGCCGATTGTAATTGTTGTCTGCTTCTTGACGGTTATGTCAATCTCTATTCATCTATCTATTTGTTTTATCCTACTTCAATCACCATTTTTCCTTTCTTAAATCATACCCACTTTTAGCCAATATTCAACCGCTATGAATTCCCAATTGTTGAATCACCATTCCCTAGATCTGCAGTAGCATTTTGAGCGATGAAAGAAACAACCCGGTGATTTTCCGTCGGATTTTTCGTCTTCCACATCCAATTTTTTCTCATGAGTTTCAGGGGTTCATCATGGTCCATCCACCATCTGTGGTGAAACAAAAAAATCCAATCCATTTTTTCCTCTGGTAAACTCACATAGCTATGGAACATGGCCCATTTAGTTCGATGTTTGACCTATTAAAGATGGTGATGTGCCATAGCGAACTGTTACGGAAAATGATGGGTAAATCACCTAGACTTCCCAGCACCAAGGCTCAGTTTCTCGCACCCAGCCCAGGCGGAGGAGTGCTCCCTGGAGCCAAGCCGTCCTGTAGATTCACCAACAGCCAAGCATTTCATCAGTGGCCCCCTTGAACCAGCTACATTGGAGGTAGCTACATGTAACATGTACCTAGCATATGGATCCATATGGGGGTTTCCATAAATGGGGATACCGGCATACCCCACCGCTTTTTTTGGTTTCTACATGTTTCTACTTGTTTCAATCCCCCACTTCAGAATAGATGATTTGGAGGTACCCCATGGTACCCCCATTTCAAAAAACCTTCATTAATAACTTATATGGGTATGGGTCAAAATTAGGTACCCCAAAATTATGGATGGTTAATACTAAACTAGACTAACATCTGTGGTTCCCTAGGTCTTCCATTTTGACCCACATCCATATGTTTACAGGGATCCGATCTACCCCCAAGCTCCAGTGGATCGGTACCAATGGGATGATATCACCACCGAACATTGGGGATTTTTTGACCAAAAAGCCATATGGCAACTGAAAAATTGGATTTTTTTATAGGGGACATGATGAACCATGAATTTTAGGGATATATATATATATACTTATGTAGCTACATATCCAAATAATTCCAAAGAAGCTCCTGTTTCCAGAGAAAATCGCTGATTGTTGGTGAAAGCTCCGTTAGTGGCTGAGGCGGTTTTTGGTGTTTCTTGCTGGGTCCTCATCCGACCCAGTGCCTTCACTGGACATGGGCTACGGCGGCCATGGGTCAAAACCTTTTTGTTCGTACCCAAAAACGTGATGAAGACTACCCTCTGGTAAACTAACATAGCTATTGAACATGGTCATTTATGCTTTGATTTACCCATTAAATATGGTGATTTTCCATAGTCATGTTAGTTTACCAGAGGGTAAGTCATGCAATGTGCAATCTGCAGCTTCAGTGCTTCCAGGTGTTGTACCTCTGGGCCAGCGCCATGTTACATTCAACAAGCAGATGAACGACATCGTCGATTTTGAAAAGCCTAGTCCAAACATAGCCAAACCACCCATCAAACGCGTTTTGCAGACCCCAACAAATATTAATAAGGTCACAAAAACGGCCATCTTGGAGATCTGATCATGATCCCTCCATTTTTGGAGATACGAATTATATCGCCCGTTAAGAAAATAGCCCAAAGAATCGCCAGTTTTTCACCAAAACCCAAGGTCCCCAAGGTCCAAGAAGCGTCTGACATGACTAGTCCATGGCTTTTCTCCATGGAGAGTCCCCATTTCTGGTAACGTCACAGTATGGACAATCGCCATTAAAATAATCTGCAAAGCATCCATGGATTATTCTCCATAGCTTGTCAAAGTACCTTACCGGGTAACCCTTCTGACTTACCATTCGCCATTCGATGACCGCTGCGTCCAAGGTGCTTAGGGAAGCAGCCGGCTGGAGAAGAAAGCACCTGGCAAGTCCGGGTGAATGTAATGGAATGTCCAATGTGTTTCATGGCTTTCTAATGGGATCATATTTTTTCAAAAGTAAATAGTGCATTTCCCGAAACGAAACCATGGTTTAGTATTGGAGAGATTCAGTATATATATATACAGTATATATATATACAGTATATATATATATATACAGTATATATATATATACAGTATATATATAGTGTATATATGTATACTGCGCATATATATATATATATGTATATACACTGTATATATATATATATAGTGTATATATATATATACTGTGTATTTATATATGTATATACTGTATACATATATTTTTTTATGGGTCCCTTTTTGTGGGTCACAGCAATCAAACGAACCGAGCAGCAAGGGTCTCGAACTGGCTAACAGGACCTAGACCTGTTCATGATAATCACTCAAATGGATTGTCTTTCATTGTTTTGCCGAGAAATGGGGAAATCACAGGCAATTTTATTACGTGTGCAAAAAAAAAACATGCCATGCGTTCATAGGGAGATTTATCTTTTCTAAGCCATTGGATGGTAACATGTTCCCAATGTTGTTTTTTTCGGCACACCCAGGAATCTTTGTCTCAACGCACCTGCCGCAGGTTGTACTGCACCATTCGTTGCTTGAACCTCGACGAAGCGTTACCGTGAGAAACATGCGGATGTTCATGGCTCACTCTTGGGCGCCTAGAATGGAGGTTCTATACATGTGTTGGAAAAAAGATATTTTAGGAGGATATTCCCTTATGCCTTGGAAAGCACATTAAATATATTAAATGTGTTCGGCAATCCAAGTTCCAGAAAGTCTCATTGGAGCAATGTGGATATCGCAAAAATGAACCAGGCACCTGATAGTCACAGAACGGTGGTCATTTCAAGTTTTGTTCGACTCATTTTGGTGCTGACCTGCGGCCCATATCTCAGTGACTGCGCCAGAGAGCCATGATTTACAAGTTTTTAAGTGACATGTTGCAAGGAAAACGTTGCTCATCCCAGAGGATTGAAATCCGCAAAAGAAACCACTTCCTACTTCCTAAATTTACGCGGTTGCCACAATCCCAGATGAAAAAGCCAATATGAGTGGTGTTCAGAGCCCTCCTTTTGAACCACGACCGCAGAGGGCTTGCTACGCTTCTTCTACTTGGTGCAACTCTGCTACAGCTGAAATGGCAAGTCCCTGGAGCACATGGGTATGATTTATTCTCAACTCCCCGATACCCTAGATAGAACAGTAGCCATATCATACATCCATCAAGACTCTTGATCTTTATCAGTTCCATATCTCATGGCTTGTGGTAATCTCATATATATATATATGTATATGTATATATATATATGTATATATATATATACGTAAAAAAATATGTATACACATATATGTATATATATATATGTATATGTATATGTATATATATATATATATTATATGTATATGTGTATATATATATATGTATATATATATATATGTAAAAAAAATGTATACACATATATGTATATATATATATGAATACACAAATGTAGATATATACATATGTGTATATATATACATACATACGTATGTATATATATATATACATACGTATGTATATATCTATATATATATATATATATACATATCATAGGCCTAGAAAACCCATACAATGCCATACAAGCTCTTCACACTTGGATGTCAATCCCTGTTCACAACTGGGTATTAATATACTCGAGCCAGTTGGAAAAGAGACACCCCCAAGAAGTTTAGCGGGATGCACATCTGTCGGCTATGACACAAATCAAGGCTCATCCCTGTGTATCATCGATCATCAACCCTTTCTAGGTGCTACAGTAGCACTAATCCAACAAACATCGCGGAGCTAGAAGGGATAGATTCAGCCTTTTAAGCCTTAACACCTTTGATTAGGTTGAGCTTTTCTCTTGTGGACATCGTATCACCCAAGCTGTCACCGAGCGGCTGTATTTTTGGAGTCTGCGCTTTCCACTCACAGTGCCTCAAAGGGAGGCAGTGAACATGAGTGAACTGAGCCTGTCGTGAAGCTGAGTCAAGGGGGGTGTTTATTGATAGGGACGTTTATCTCATCAACCTACTCTACAGCAATGAACATGGCTGGAACATATCCAAAGGTCTATGTTATGGGTTTCCCATCAAAACCCTCTATTCATGCCGGATATGTCCATGGAACGTTTGATTACCAGACGCTGTTCTCATGGTCCTCTCTGGGCCACGGACTCCATCCCCAATGGTAAATCACCACTGGATGGATATGTCACTCGGATTTCACCGTAGGTTTGCCATGTCTTTCCATAGTCTGAACCCATCCCTTTCCCCTGCAGCTTTCAGTGACTTCATGGCCATCATCATCTCTCCGTTGGGTATCTCATCCAAATCCTGAGCGAAAAATCTCGATTTTTCTGCACCCAGAATTGTGTCACGAATGTGTCGCATCTCCAATGTTCCATAACATGTTCCAAGGATGATTAATATTATTATGTATGATTATGCATGATTTTGTATGATTATATATGACTATGTATGATTATGTATGATTATGTATGATTATGTATATGATTATATATGATTATGTATGATTATGTATGATTACATAAGATAAGTTCATATTAACCCAAGAAAACATATGACACATTATTATGCATGATTATATCTGATAATTTCATATAATGTAACCCAGTTATAACACATCAGAATAACTCATGCCCCACATCAAGGCGTATCAGACTCACCTCTGAAAAATCCGCAAGCGCCTGGGAGTTGATAATCCCTATAATTACTAATCCATATATCATACATATACATATTAATATGTTGTCAACATATGGGATATACCCTCTGGTTATGTCAAAATAGCTATTGAAAATGGCCATAGAAATAGTGGATTTTCCCATTGAAAATGGTGGATCTTTCCATAGTTATGTTAAATTACCAGAGGGTATGCATACTGGTTGGTGGTATACCTACCCCTCTGAAAAATATTGGTCAGTTGGGATGATGACATTCCCAAAATGATGGGAAAAATAAAAGCCATGTTCCAAACCACCAACCAGCATATATATGTTGTCAACATATGGGATATATGAGGGTAGAGTCATCTATCTATCCATTCCATCCGTCCGTCCGTCCATTCGTTCATTCAACCATTCGTCCATTCATCCATTCGTCCGCAGCGATGTTTAAAAGCCATATCAGCATTTATTGTGAATCCAATCCAACGATTGACGTGGGGGGGTGATTGACTCAGGGTGATCTGACTTTGCTAGTGGGTGACTGATTCCGTCTGGTCTCATCACCACAGCCTTGAAGTGGGAAAGTAGTCTTACCGGTGCTTAGGGCTGGGAATGGGGGAATGGGATGATTGTTCATAGCTATATGTTATTATTTAGATTTATTTAGATCATTCCTGAGTTCCTTAAAAATTAAGCACCAGTAAGTAGTTTGTCGGGGACCACATTAATTGGGCCTGTCCTGATTTCCGATAGATTTTTATGTTTCACCAGCATGAAATCCGGTGTTAAGTACTTGGTTGCGGAAACTGCCGCAAACCTTAGCATGTCTAGAATATCTCCAAACCATTGATCCACATTTTAAATGCACAAGTTGAACAAAAAAAAAGTGCCATCTGGTAAATACATTATTTCTGAAGATCTTCGCCAAGTTTTTTGTGCTCACTGCTCCCCACCCGGCGAGACATATAAACATTTGTAAAAAGGTTTGATCATGTTTGATCATCTATCAATCCACATGGCGGATGGCGAACATGTCATTCACCATCTTTGGTTGGTCATGCCGCCATGCCATCTCCCTTTACTGAGCATCCCTTTCCTCGGAGTGTTGAACACATCTATGGCTGATGCGAGCATGACCTAATACTGACATTTCCACATTTTTGCTGTCTACACCTGTCTACATTGCGAGGAAGATGTTGATTCCTGTCAAGTTTGGTTGGTTTTATCATCAAAATCACATGTCTTTTGCTGGGTGAAATTTGTGTGTTTTCGATGGTTTTCCAGTCAACCATGTTTGATTACCAGAGGCTAAATGATGGTTTCAATCCATTGAAATCCACATTTTTATGTTATTTTTTGTCAAACAATTTGAACATGAATTGAAATCCCTATCAAATAATCCATGGTCCATGTCAAACAACTTGTCAATATAAATTCCCATGAAATCCCCATCAAATCGGGTCCGCAAACTGGCGCCGATCCAAAGGTCTGAAAAGATCACAATCGTGTCATCCTCAGGCGGAGGGTGGGGCCTGCGAAAAATTGGAGATGTACAGGTTGAACTCAATCCAGTTGGGATATCCTCATGATCGCTGTTGGCAATGGGGTTGGATACAACAATTTGATTTAAGCATATTTAAGCTATAAATGTTGCTTTTAACACATGTCAGAATGGTTGCGACAATAAGTTTTGATCATCAAATACGGTGGGGATGGCGTCTCGTAAATGTCGACGCATTCGGGGACCAACATGAGTCACCACAGATCTTTTCGGGGCCAATATCATGTCCAACCGTCCATCCAATTTTTAGAAGTTCCCATGGATGCCTCGCACATACCCAATATATATCGGTTCGATTCCCGTGGCCATATCCCATACCTTGCCGAGGGTTGGAAAACTCCTGAAGAGCTTGCCCCTTGGTATTAAACATACAAACCACTTGAAGCCAGCAGCTCAATACCCATTTCAATACCTTTTGCTGGTCATCTGCAGAAAGCATTGATATTCCATAACCTTTGGCAATTGAACTTGGCAGGTAGGCGCATCTCCATCTTGCCAGGTAGGTGCATCATCTATGAAACGGCAAATTCTCCATGTCTTTGTAGTTGTTCCAATAATGGATCATAATGATCCCTTTTCAATAGCCTAGTAGCTCAAGATTAACAACATACCCATGGGTTTTTGAGACTCCTCCACTTGGGCGAGATTGTCCCTGGCCACAAAATCACTTCCAAGCATCAGTGAGATTTGGCCGATCTCTCTGCAGCATTTTCCAGAGGCATCCCCTGCATCGGAAAACAAGAGGGAAACGCTTCGGAAGGAACACGGACGAGCCCAGAGGAATTCCAAAAACTCAATGGGACGAACCCGGGACTTGGAATCTGGAGCAATACTACTCAAAAATCATCTACAATCTACAATAATCTACAATAATCTACAATACATCATGGAAAGTCCCAAGAATCTACAATAATTTACAATAATCGACAAAAAAATCCATTGATGTATTGTAGTTTTGGAAACGTCATCTACAATTATCTACACATTTCCGTTGGGAAGTGTGCGCAACGCCATCATGGCCACCTCAGATGGTCAGGATGGAGCTTTGAATATATTCATTACTTGTATGGTATTACAAATATCCAATCCACCAAAATAGATGGTTTAATCCTGAATCCTTACCTCTAAACCAAGTTGTTGGCTTCATTGCTGCCCAATTTAAGTGAATATGTGTGACATTTGAAACCACCAAGCAGTTATTAAATCCAAACACTTCTCTTGGAATTGCTTAAGGGCCTTAAAAAACTTCGTAGTTAGAGGATAACCGGAGCCGGGAATCCAAGTAATCCAACATGGCAATGTAAAATCCTCGAAGTCAGTGAATCCAGGGAATTTCCAGCACCAGGTTTGGATCCCTTGGATTATTTGGATCCCTTGGATCCCTCCTTTGGCTGTTCTGGATGTCCCACAAGTCGTGATGGTGGCCATGCTTCTCACGGGTCTTGTTGATGTGGTGCAAGTACTCCTCGCCTTAGTTTAAGCGCACCAAACAAGGGGCTAAAGCACAGCGTTTTTTTTTGGGGGGGGCGGGGTGAAGTTTGAAACTAGTTTATCATGCTTGATCTTAGGATCATGTTGGCTTCGGACTCATGAAACCTCAGATCGAAGTTAAGACAATAGCTTGTATTACGTGTATATATTTATGTATATATATATATATATGTATATATATATATATGTATATATATATATATGTATATATATATGTATATATATATGTATATATATATATTATGTATATATATGTATATATATATATGTATATATATGTATATATATATATATATGTATATATATATAGTATATATATATAGTATATATATATATATGTATATATACATGTATATATATATATGTATATATATATATGTATGAATATGTGTATATATATAACATTATACATATATATATATATATATATATAAATATCTAAGATTTATATATATATACAGTATATATATATTGATAATATGTAATGGTTTAAAATCATCGTTAAAATCCGGCTGACAGGCTGCATTCCTCCAGGTCCAGGTACATCACAGTGTCACGAAACGCCTCCGAACAGCCGCCAAACTTGGTAGAAACATGGTCCACAGTTATGGAAACTTTAAGATACTATGAGGGAAGATTTTATGATCAAGCATGTGATTCTCGGCTACCATGTTGAAATTTACAGGCAAATCTACGTGTTATCCCTTCTTTCATACGATAAACAATATTCTTAAAACATGATGCTGAAACCCAGCTTACTGCGGATATGCTTGCAATGCGGATTTGGTTTGACCGTTTTTCTGTGTCATTTCAGGTAAGAATGGTCTTTGATTTGTTTGACAACCGGCCAGCCTTTTATCCGAATATAGGTGTAAGCTCCGGAGAATGGCAAGTATCTACAACAAATACCCTCTGGTAAACTAACATAACTATGGAAAATCACCATTTTCAATGGGTAAATCCACTATTTCTATGGCCATTTTCAATAGCTATGTAACAAATTACCAGAGGGTATCTTCCAAAATCCGAGGGGGTCCATCGGTCCGCAGTTCCATCTTGGTTTCCAGTCAAATCAGGTTGTGATGGGATTTCAATGTCCTACCGAACCTTTTCGAACCATTTCGATTGCCGTGTCGCTTCCTTTTCTTGAACCAAAAACCCTTTTAAAGTCATCAGCAAATGTGGTTGCTACCTTCAGGCTTCCACACACCTCAAGTCTCTACTTTGTTTTTGATTTAGACAGTATATATCCTCAGAACTTGATGATTTTAGCTGCGTCAATGGTTTTGGAAGCTGCCTGTTGTTAGTTCTGTTAGTTCTGATGTTTCTCTGAATTGACGTGCAAAAAAAAAAGTGCACCCAGGAATGAGTTCAGTTACAAAGACAAGTAAGGCAAGCAGACCTGGTCATCAATGTTTCATCTGAAATCAATTGCTGTCCAAACATCGAATTTCCGATCTGGTTGGTGGTGCAATAACCATCTTGAAAAATAGGACTTCGTCAATGGGAAGGATTATCCCATCCCACATATGAAATGGAAAATAAAAGTCATGTTCCAAACCACCAACCAGTATATATATATATATATATATATCCCAAAACAACATGGATACAGGTCTTGCAATACACCCAAATGGTTTTGTTGGTTGGGTTCTGTATTGCCAATTGCCATTGTCCCAATTCAACTTTTGATTCATAGCATTTATATCAAAACATAAAACACGAACCACACTCAATTAGCGTGCTTTTTACCCAATTCCATAAACCATCCCCAAATCTAATGTTGGCTATAGCCCTAGTAATGGGATGATTTCAACTAACCCCAAATAATGGATCTATAATTGATGGATATTGATGGTTTCTGGCATTGGGTTTACCACATCCCCTGCTGCTCCCGAGTGCCTTGAATCGCTCAGCATTCAACTGGTACTGACGTGGTTTCAGGTCTCCGCGAAAGGTGTGACCTTTTTGGCAGGACTTGATGCCGAAAACGATGGGTGAAACAAAAAACAAGTCATCCATGACTTGGATGATGGAAATGGGCTACCATGACTTAGGAAACCTCCAACCAGCGTCTAACTGATTTTGGTACTTCACTAAACTGACTAAAATCTAAACGAAACAAAGGTCCATTTGATGGATTTTCCCCCACTGACCATCATCTATGGCACGCATACTTCATTGTGAGGTCGTCATGATCATGACTGAACCAGCAAACGTCAAGGTGACATCCTCAAATTCTAAGGCAGTACTGCACTTCCATCAAGATATTGGCCAATAAATTCGATGGTGTCAATCCAAATAGCGCAACACATCTCAGACCCAGATCTTGGAAATTTGATTCTTGCCATTTTTGATTGGGAATAATTATGTAGTATTTTCTCAAATTCTGGGAATGGTGGTAGAATATTTCCATTTATCACCGTCTCAAACTATATACACAATTTAGTATAAAAGTGGTGAGAGATTGATCTGTGCCTGAGATTTTGCTTTAAGTTCTCCGGGTCAAAAGTTATTTGTTTATCTTATTTAGTTTTCTCCCTCTATCTTCCTTTTCAACAATTGCCTTTACCTGTTCTTTTCTTCTTTATAAAGCCAATTTGATCCAAGGGGAAATCCAGTGAATGCGTGTTTGACCTCACTTCCCCCAACCTGTTCTGTATGTGCACTTTCCTTAAAATGTCCCAACTTGAAGACATGACATGTATGTTTTTGATTTTTCAATGTGGATCCATTATATGGTTTTGTGCGAAAATTGGGTACCGATGGGTACCGCATACCATCCAACCATCAAAATTCACCATCAAGTGGCCATTTTATGGCTATAACATGGTATAACATGGTATGGGTAAGGGATAAACAAAAAAAACATGCTATTACACAGGAGTTAAAAAAACATGGTATACCTTATTTTCAGACAAACCAATGTCAGAGCATTATCGATTTCGGGGGTGGGGCCATCAAACAACCTGATTCACCGACCGTCAGGGTGTGATTGATAGGTCCGGGCTTGCCAGTAAATGGGTTATCATGGGTTATCAACACTCAATCAACAGAGAAACCAAAACAAAGTAAATGCAAGGATCAAGCAAACAAACATCGGAAACACAACAAAATAAAGCAATCGCTAATGAACAGCAATGGAACTAAATTTGGACTGATCCAAATCCATGCGGGCCTTAGCCCGTCATTGTGGAAACCGCTGCAAAAGCATCCGACACTACCATGAGTAAAGGAAAACTAGAAACTGAATCCTGATATTCAGTTTCCTTCAATCTGAGAGACGGCAGCAAAATACATCGGTATCTTCACAAATCTATGTGAGCCCATATATACACCCCAGGCATTTTTCATTGGAACCTTTTGAGGATTCTGGACCTTAGCAATCTGTAAACCGGAGTCATTGAGGATTAACTTGGATGAAACTAGACAAATAATAAAAGTGAGGTCATCGATCCGAAACCCATTCTTTCCCGCTGATTTTTGTCACCAAAAAAAAAACTTCTTGAGAGCGCAAAATATAAAGGTCCACTACATTTTCACCCCGGATATTAGGGGCTATAGACTATAGATACGATGGATACGATGGAATCATATTCCCCTTTTAGATTGCATTATCCAATAGTACTTGCTTATTTTTGTGATATTGATCAACATGATTAATTAGATTTTACTATAATCACGAAAATGAATTTACATGGGATATTGAATGTATAATGAGATGGAGCATTACTAATATCATATCGATAAAGCATAGCCAATCGGAATTATCACCAAATTTCCACTTCCAGTCTTTCCTTCCGTGATATTTTTTGGCGCCGCAACAAGACACTCGACTCAGCCACAACCATGAAATCCACCACACCCTGCCTGGGCGACCGAGTCATCGGAGAGTGTAATAGTTGGGTAGAAACATTATCATAACCAAATTATAGTAATAACTACATAACATAAATATGTAAAAACATGTAATAATATGATATAATATGATACATTGGATAGAAAAATATGGGTAATAAAAAGAGTGGGAAAACTCTATTGTCATGATACACATATATACAATGTATGGGTAATTAGTCATATCTGTGTCATTGCAGTCATATTCATACAGGATACTAGATCCCATGAAGTATGGAAAATTTTCGTACAGGGTGATTTTTTTTTCATCGGTGGATCATTGTTTCATGCCGGGTACTGTAAACAAAAACATGGGATGAACACATATGGCAGTGTGTCAAAACCTTATACCCCTGGTGAACATCAAAATAGCTGGGATTTATGGATGTTCATCCCACTAAAAATGGTATTAATAGGTATTGATCCATACCCATATCTGGACAAACTGATGTAAACTGCAAGCTTTTTATATGCTAGGGATTCACCTAAAAAATCAGGCCAGCTATGGGGATGGATTCCCCTGATCCTAACCATCATTCACTGATGGAAAGCGACGCGAGGTCGTTGTAATTCATCCAAAGATCTAGTAAAACCATCAATTCCATCATGGTATACTTATATCGTTATATATATAGATATCACCCGCATTTTTTATTTAACCATTATGGTTGATGTTATACCCCAATATCAATGGAATATACCTACTATGTCCACTTTCCCATCCCAAATCCAAGGTAACTTAAGGCAGTCATGCTGCTCATGCTACTCAGAGACGTAGTGGGATCGAACAAAAATCCGAGGTCAACATGATCATCATTTTTGCTAAATCCTCATTCTTGTTACTTGAATGCATTACAGTATATTGTTTTAGAACAGCATAAACATATACCATTTATTTCCATTTACCAAGATTTACCAGATTTTACCCGTGATATTTCCTCTGAATTTTTGCTCCCTAAACTCCCTTGAGAATCCCAGTTACCATCTGATAATTTCATACAGCAAACTGGAGCATCAGCATTTCTAATATTTAACTCGCATTTTACCCAATGATATCCTCACTTACTTATATCTCCCTTTAGCTCAAAATCATTCGTATTTCATCGGCCATTGCTTCCATAACCAATCACCAGAGGTAGCCTCTGATGATTTGTTACAGTTTGCTATTGAAGCCATGGTCCTTTGATTTCGTTGATGTTCTATGATTTTCCAGTTAGATCTAGTTAGATGGTGATTTTCCAGTCCGCAAAGCCTCAAATCAGAGGTCAACCTGCCCAAATTTTTTTCGCCAAGTGGCAACTCCAGAAGTCGAAGCTCCAGAAACTCCAACTCCGGTCCTGGCGCGCCGGCGGTTCGCTAACAGATCTACCTTTCGAAAAAAAGGAGATGGCAATCATCCCCAAATAGATAAGGAAAAATCCCATGAAAATAGTGATTTAATTAATGATTTTCGTATCTTTCTGTTACTATAACTAGAACTAGAACTGTGAAATTAACAATTTTACATAATTTTACCTCCCAAAAGTGGCTATCATTTACCTATCATGAGTTGGGAAAACCCCGTTTTATGGTAATATATGGAGTATCATGAGGAATATACAATGTGTATGTATATATATATATAGTAATCCTCAAAAAGAAACCGGAGAGTACATCATCACTCTTTTAGTAGGTTTTTGCGTTTCTATCTTTGGTGGGTGACTATATACATCTATATATATATATATATTTATAAATACACATACATATGGCTTTAAAGTTGACCGATCAATATTGTTTTCGAATATATATATATATATAAGAATATTTTAGGGCCAACAACAGG